GTTAGGAGAAGGAACTCGGCATGCAGGTGTCCGGGCCTGCAAGTGAACCGGAAAATTCCTGGGGCAGAGTGGGATGCTAGCAGAAATCAGTTTCAAGAAATTTAACACTGATCAACCCAGAGTTGTTTAATGAACAATACTAGTAAAAGGCACTGATTCCCCCGAGTGGTACCCCTGAAAAGTAGGGCAAGAAAACATACAGTGCTTTCCTTTTCTTCTTTACTGTTGGTGTGTATACTAAAGCTGGGAAACTATCTCTCAGGCCAAATGCGGCCCCCAGCCTGTTTCCTTAAAGTTTTATTGGCACACAGCCATGCCCATTTGCTCACATATTATGTGGCTGCTTTACTTTTTTTTTTTTTTAAGCAGAGTTGAGGTGTTGAGTAAGGGGCTATAATAAAACTGAAAATATTTTTATCTGGCCCTTTACAGAAAGAGTTCGTTAACTCCTGCTATATTCTTTTTATGTCTGTAGCTATTAGGATTGTTATTGATTTGTAATACCTCTTTACATATGAATGACCTTTCTCATGTAACCTGAAAACATTACAGGATTTCTTTTATGGAGTTTTAAAGAAAAACATGTAATTTTTATAAACTTACATCTGTCTGTCTTTTCTGTCTGGTTTCAGCCCTGGGTATCAGGTTTAGAAGTCACCCTGAGGTTGTAGCCATGTTTGACATCCGTGTTTTTATAACGGCCCCTCTCTGTAAGGGTAACAAAAGGTCAGGGGTGCTTGTGGCAGACTGAACACTGCTGGCCTCAATTCTGTTCCAAGAAAGTGATTCTCAGTGACCACCTAACCACTCAGCACACACGCCTCTGCTCATTCACCTTGCAGAGGCTGCCCTGGTCTTTTCTGACTCATACAAATGATGCTAAGGATTCCAGGGCCGCAGAAGAAAGGTGATGGCTAGCAAACTTCACAGCACAGTCTCTTTACCCATGAGGTGGAGCCATATAATTAATGTACAGGTCAATAAAATGGACTGTGGGTTCAAACCCTGATCCCTCCCCCTCACCTGCTCTGCCGGGTAACCACCTGTCTTTCTCCATCTATAAAATGAGGACGAGTGTGCTGCTGGGTGCAGTCTGAGAGGTAACCAAGGCCTTGGTACAGTGCCCGGCGCGTAGCTCCGGACAAAGGGAACGGCGTATAGTCTCATGGAGAAGCAGCTCCAGGCAGACAGCCTACCAACGGCCCGTTTGTCAGCTGGCTGAGAGAGAAACCAAGTGGCCTAGGCTGATGTGCAGGCCCCGTGGCGGGCTAAGGCGCGTGGTGCTGCGCACGGCTCAGCAAGCAGACAGGCGACGGGCTGAGGCAGCCCAGGCCGGGCAGAGTGCCTGGAGGGCTCAGTGTCTGCTTCTGGGAGGGAGCCAGGACCTAGGCACGTATGGCGGCTTCCGGGCAAAGGTGATACTCGGGAGACGGGCAGGAGGGAAGGCAGGATATGGGCTGGTTGGAGAACTGCCTGCAGCCGATTTGGGAAGAGGCGGGAGAAGAGGTGGCATGTGGTGGGTGCTCAGGACGTCCACGGGATGAAGGACATGCTGATGGCAGCGACCTGGGAGAGTGGTTTCCACACTCAGATCTCAGAGTAGACCTGGAGCCAAATCCCAGTGTGGACAGTGTCCTGAGGCTACTGAGCCTCTTGCTAAGCTCCGCTTTCTCACTGATAGGGTACTGAGTGCTTCCCACGTGCCATGGCATCTTCAGGAGCCCGGGGTGCTGTGAGCGAACAAGAAAACTAAAGAACAGGGATAGCGAACTGCCGGGAGCTGGTATATGGAGGAGCCTGAGCAACAGGCAGGGTGGGGTCGCTGCCGACTGTCCCAGGGCCCACGCAGAGCCTTGAGTGAAGTGAGGAGGAAAAGCCGCAGAAGAGGCGGGGAGACCCGCAAACCGGCAGAGGCGGGAGGCACGCAGGGGCCTGGGGAGCACGCAGAGCGGAAGCCTGTGGCTGGCTGGGGCGTGGGCGAGGACGACAGGAGGCGAGGTCACAGTGGGGACTAGACCAGGGGAAACGGGGGCCCAGGGCAGGGTTCTGGGGTAAAGGGGACCTTCCACACGTAGTGGGGGCTTCCCTGGGGGCTCAGGGGTAAAGAATCCGCCTGTAATGCAGGAGACGTGGGTTCGATCCCTGGGTCTGGAAGATCCCCTGGAGAAGGGAATGGCAGCCCACCCCAGTATTCCTGACTGGCAAGTCCCAGGACAGAGGAGCCTGGTGGGCTTCAGTCCGTGGGGTCATAAAGAGTTGGGTATGACTTAGCGACTGAACAGCGACAGCAAAGCGCGCGGTGGGCTGGAGTGAGGAAGGGAGGCTGAGATGGGACCGAGAGAGGCGGCAGGGCCTGGGGATGCAAGGGGGAGGCTCCCTGCTGACATGAGATCCATCCAGAGGCAGCGGCCCCTCTCCCCTACCACCCCAGGGCTGAAGTCGCAGAGGTGGGGCCTCTCAAGTCGGGGTGAGGTGGTCCAGGTGAGAACCCCCCCCCCAAGGCACGTGGAGCCCACGCTTTAGCCAGACCCCCGTGAGGACACAGCCGTGAGCACCACACCCACCGCTTCTGTGAGAGAGCGTCCTCATCCATGGCAGGGGCAGAGCGCTGAGGTTTCAGAAAAGAAAGGCTCCGCTCCCCAGAGAGGTGGCCGTGGGCGCGAGGGGCCTGCCTGCACGCCCCCACCCGCCCCGCGGGCCCGGGGCACAGCGCCCGCCAGGCTGAGAGCCGTGCACACCCCGCTCTCAGAGAGCGGGGGTGGCCCCTGTCCACTGGGCGGGGGGCTTGGCCGCCCCCCAGCTCCTAAGCCGGCCCCCAGACCCTTCTGGTGAGCACAGCTCTGCCGGCGGTTTTGCCCAGCCGTTATTTTTAGAAAACTGAGGCCATGGAGAGTTTCCATTGAGGATTGACTCCTCTCGGTTTCCTAGGTTGAGAAAACAGGAAGCCCTTCAGAATCCGGGCTTTGAAAAGCTTCGCGTGAAGCCACACCGAGCCCCACCTCCGCCCCTGGCACCGCGCTTTCGCTCCTGCTTGGCGCCCCCACCCAGGGCCCCTAGCCCCTCATGCTTCCCAGATGCGGGGGAGGAGGGTGGAGGGTGGGGCTTCTGCAGCCAGCTCCTGGTTCGGGGCCCCTGGGAGTCATTTGGCAGCTGGTACACAGTCAGTGCACAGATAGAGCTGGTTAGCTGAATGCATGGAGTCATCCTCTGAGTTTCTATCAATGGATCCATTCCTGCACTTGAGAACCGGTTGTCACTCTAATATATCGATACTGTGTCACTTTCTCATGTGTACATACATCTACACATACTAGTCTGCACACCAACATCTGCTATACGCTGGGGACTGGGATAATTTTCTGTTATCTCATTTAAGCACCTCAACAACTAGACAGAAGGGCATGTCTTTATACAACGTGCAGAGGGGGAAACTGAGGCACAGAGCAATTCCATCACTAAGGCAAGACTCACACAGTGAGGAAGTGGCAGAGGCGGGTGTCCCAGTCCCGGCCACCTGTCCCTGCACCTGCTTTCGGCAGACATCCAAAGAACAGCAAGGATGCCTGATTCATTTCTGCCCCAAACGGAGCCCGCTGATGCAAAGCACTGGGTTTACTGTCCAGCACGAAGACGGGGGCATCACTACCCATCACAGCTGGCCGCTACACAGGGCTGGGTGCCTGGCATCATGCGAGGAGCCCAACATCCTCACAGTCCTGAGATGTACACACCACACAGAGTCTCACCCTGCACACGAGAACACTGAGGCGCGGGGAGGTGAGGTCACAGCCCATTCAGTGAGGGAGCTGAGTGTGTTTGCTTTCTCCTTATTCTGGGCGCTGCAGACTCATCCTGGCGGGGGGTTTTCAAGGGAAAGCGCCCTGAACCCAGGAGGGCCCGGCGTGACCACGAGGGGGCTCTGCACACACCTGACACTTAGCCCTCGCTGCTCACCTCCCGTCTCTGCAGTTTCAGGATGAGACTGAGATGGGAAAACACAGGAGGAGGAGCCTGTGGGAAGACACTGAGTGCTGGAACAGGGAGGGGGGGATCCTTCTACCGTTGATGGGGTCCCGGGGGGTCTGCCCCCTGCTTCTGCCCCTGGGGCCAGTCCCCACAATCAGCTGCAATAACCAAGGTGCACACACACACACTTGAGGACGGTGCACAAGCCTGCCGGGCGTCCGGCTGCCGGTGACGGCAGCTTTCCCCAAGCATGCTGAGGGCAGGCTTTTTGTGGTCGCCACTGTCCCAGGACCTTGCTGTCCTGACTCTCAGAGCCGGTGCCTCAGAGAGGCTGGGAGGGGGGGGAGGAGGGGGAGGAGGGCTAGTTCCCTGGCGCCAGTGGCTGGCATCGCCTTGTTGGTTCCCTGCGGATTCCCGTGTCTCCTGGGGAAGGGGGCGATGGAACTTCCCAGAGTCCCTGGAGGATGCTGGTACTTGAGAAGGCTCCTAGTGTGACCAGGGAGGAGGGGTGAAGGGGTGGCATTCTCGCCTGTGCTGGGAGAGATGGAGATTTTGTCTGCACTGCCGGCCTAGTCCTTGTGGTGGCTCCACCCACTCCCCTTTTAAAGGCCCCTCTTCAGAGCTGTAGGTTTTGTGGGTCAAGCTGTGTTTTGGTCACACAGTGGGTGTTTTCTGGACGTCCCAGTAACAGACAGAGTTTGGTATAAGTAAAGCACCTCAGTGCATTCAATAAAAAGGAGAGTGTGTTCCCCAGATCATGCCCTGTGGCCCAGCTCCATTCCTGCCATCACAAGTTTTAAAAGTCACCATGTGGGCAGTTTTCACTAACAAACCCATACCACAAAACAGCATCATTTCGGGGGGGGGGGGTCACAATGTGGGAAGGCATTTCTTATGTTAAAAGTTGTCGAATGTATTATCGCAAAGCACAAAAACCTGTTTTATAAAACAGCCCGCTTGAATTAGGTTCTAAAAAGCTGACCACATTCGTGTTTTTCCTGCCATCTCACTTGCCCCTTCTCTTTCTTTTGTAGTCAATGAAATTATCAGGAAGGAGTTTTCAGGACCTCCCGCCCGAAATCAGACGTAGAAGAAGTCATTAGCAGGACACCATCCATCCACAAGGCTGACCCTGGAGCCTCCCATGGCCCCTGGCCCTCCGCCCCAGCGTCCACCCTGCCCTGGGGCTGCGGGCAGGGCCAAGTACCCGCCGAAAGCTAACCTTCATCCCCAAGCTCGCCGCCTCTCTCTCTGCATCCCGGGTCCTGCTCTAACCCCCAAAGAGCAGCTCCGTTGACTTTGATGGTGTCCCATCCAAGCCTTAAGTGCCTGCTGACCCCAGATACATTCTGAATAAGACCGGCCGCTGGAACAGAAGATGAGGGCGTGGCAACTGGACCCCAGCCCTCGCCTTCACTTCCTTGGGTCACCAATACAACTCCTGTACCTTTTGAAGCAAAGGAGGCCCTCCAACAGAGCAACCAAAGGAGCGTGACCTAGCTGGCAGGCTGGAGAGAGACAGAGAAGCCGGCCCATCCTCACCTAATGGTCGCATGGGCCTCACCGTGGATGGGCCACAGCTCAAGCTTGGTGTTTAGATTTTCTGCTTCTGAAGCAAAAAACAAACCCGATCTGGCTTACACAAGTTCACCTATTAAAACTTCTTGGCCTTAAGTTATGACATGTGTATGTCCTCCCCCCCGCCCCCGCTTCTCTGCTTTCAAAAAGCTGGCTGGAGGTGGGGGGGCTTCTCGGCCAGCTGCCCTCCCCCCTGCATGGGACTGGTGGGCCTCACCCCAGCTGTGGGGTGAGCGCTGTCCACTGCAGCCGGACAAGCTTCACAACTCTCTGCTCTTCCCACTTACTTTTCTCCAACAGCCCAAGTGCTTTTCCATAATATAGTTAAGAAGAATCTCAAGCATGTGCATTGAATTTTGAGAAGGAATGGCAGAAGGGCTGAAGCAACCCCCAACCCCACAAACAAAAACCCAAAACCACGCAGGTATCTTTAAGTGAAGTGTGGTCATTGGCAGGTCCGAGTGTCTCAGTGGGTGGGTTCCTCCAGGAAGAACGCCGAGTCCCCTGTCCAGCCTAGACGCAACGTGGGACACACCAGCTCGGGATCTGACTCCAGAGTTCGCTGGTTACCTTTACCTGGACCATTGAAACCTGCCCCTCTCCCCCACCCCCAAAGACACATCTACATCACCTGCTTCATCCAGCACAAAAGTGACCTAAATAGAAGCAAACCCACTCCCTGCACAGCCCTCAATCTGAGTGCTCTCGGCTCAGACCACTCAGAAGGGGTACGCAGTGTACGCCCCCATCCTGTTTCTCTCTGCGGAGTGCACCCACCAGTCTGTCTCCCTTAGGGCAATTTTTGCAAACAAACAAAACACTCCAAGTTCTTGGCAGGTGAGTTTTTAATCATACAGATGTTTGTTTACACTAACTGCAGAAACCCCAGGACAGGCCAGGGATTCCTTTTCAGATGTTAACTGCTTCTCCCCAGTCGACTTGGAGTGTAAGTATTCCTCGCAGTGTTCAACAGGCTTTGATCAGGCCGGCCGCCGTGCAGAGCTGAGACGGGCAGCAAGCAGCACTTAAGTGTTCCCCATGGGCTTCCTAAGTCCTGGCTTTGTTGTCAAGTCTCCCCAGAGAGAGAAAACCTTTTGACAGCTGGACCAGAACTCAGGACCTGGTGACCCGGGCCTGCCGTCTTTGGGGCTCCAGAGAGAGAACACAATGCCTTTGCAGCCACGTGTCTGTCCCCTTTCGGTCAGGACCTTGCATTTCTTTTCCCCCAAGGACGAGGACTTTTCCCACCCACCCCAAGCAGAGTTTAGCAAAATTCTTTTCAACAGACAGAGTATCAGTAAGAAGCTGACCGCCATTGCGAGATGCAGACTTTCTGGGATGCAAAATTCTTCCTCACTGGTACAAGAGTTCCTTATCTAAGCAGCTTTACCCAAAGAACTCTCCAGCAATACTGACTTCACGGGGAAGGGGCTCAAGTGTTTGGTGAGCAATCTATTCTCACGTGACCTGGCTGGGAGCCATTTTTCTTTTTTTGCACATGAGGGAATTTGGCCTTTCCTCGGTTATCTGAATGTTTTACCCAAGTGCCTTCCTGCTATTGTAGCAAAGTCGCTCAGCTGCATTGTGCATGAGGTGAAAAAGGACTGATGCATTTTCCATCACTATTCTAACCATGTTAGTGCAAAGGGCCTCCTAGTAGCTCAAATTTCTGTACGTATAGATGTGCTTGTGTCTGTAAGACACACACTTTTTTCCTAAGACATCCTAGCTGGGTATTATAGGAAGCACTTTCATAAACAGCTATACCAAATAACAAGGGAAAGAAACAGAAGCATTAGATTCGAGACATAAACAGGCAAGAGAACGTGTAATAGGATGTGACAGCAATCAAGAAAGTTTTGTCAGTGACAGAGGCCAGGGGGACGTTTCGCCAAGTAAACTGTTCATGAAATATTTTCAGTATGGGAAGAGGCAATAGGGCCTCAAAGAGAGAGAAAAAGAATGTCTAAACTGTCAAGATGGGTGTGTTGCACGTGTGTTAGAAGGATCTGTTAGGTGGAGGTTTGCACTTGCTACATCCAAGGTCATGTAAATAGATAACCCTTCCAACAGCGATCTGCCCTGTTGCTGAATGTAGTATATTTCCAAAGTTTGCGAGTCTTCCTGTATTGTACAAAAAACTGCTGCTTGATAATATATAATGGCAACCCCAAATTAATGAGTATGGTATTAAATTTTATTTTCTTATCTGTATTTTTATGCTTTGTATCTGTCCTCAAAATATCACATCCTTGTTGGAATTAGAAAATATTTATAAGTGGTTAAAAATCTTTTTCAAATGTCTCTTTTTGCATATCAGTTGAGGATTTTTTTTTCCTTGAGAGAGAGGATGTATTCTTGAAGACGTGTTACTCATTCCAGGAGAGCAAACAAAAAAAAGGCCACCTCAGAGCCCGTGTCTCCTGACCTGGAAGAGGCCACATCCAGAGGCAGGGGGAGGGATGGCTTCGTGGGAGGAGGTGGCACCTATGTGTCGCCTGCGGATGCTGCCAGCTTCAGCTCTGAGCCGCCTTCTTGGCACTGGGCACTGGGCAGTGTCTCAGGCCCCAGTAAGTGACCCAGTAGGCGATTCTGAGGTGACAGAACTGCCTGTGTTGTAGTGGGGAGTCTAAAAAGGCTCCTGTCCACAGAACACGAGTGCAGGCTGAGGCTGACCGAGCCGACTCAATCCGGGTAGACAGACACGATACCCGAGGGGCGTGAAAACCCTGGAGAACGCGGAGCTCTCCAAGAGACACACCACGCTGACAAATCCCGGTGACTCCCTCTAAGGTTGGGGACGTGTGGATGCAGCCTTTCTTGTTTGCATCCAGTGGTCAAGCCATCCGTCCCAGGAAGCCAGCCTTGGCCTGCGTGGGAGCTGTCACATGCACACAGATCGGAAGCCGATGTGTTCCCGTCTGTCACTCTGAACCAAAGGGAGGCTTGGGTGTGTTTATTTCCATGTCAACCCTTTCCAAGTGCTTTCTATTTGTTCCGAATTGGAAGCACGTCCGGGTCTGACACTCACATGAGGCACAGGGACCGCGACGCTTTTGGCAAGCTGGGGCGCGCCTTCCTGAGCCCACTGGGGGCCAGCCACTTAGTGGGCGCCCAGCGCACCGTAACCCTGCGTCTTGGGCAGTAAATCTCATGGAGCCGAGCCAGCCGACGCAAGTGGCTTTCCTGCATTCCAACTGACTGCCCAAGAAAAAGCAGCATCACACGAAACTGATCCCGAACGAGTTCTTTCAGTTTTCATGAGTGTCTCGAGTTATAGCCAACACCACTGTCTTAATTCTGTTTGAATACGAACTTTTCTGGTGGTCTGTGAGCTAGCTGTGCTCCCTAAGCCAGCTCCCCCCTCAGAAATACAAGCTGGGGTGCTGAGTGCTGGAAGAAAGGATTAAAACCCTGCCTTTAAGCAGCTGCTGGCCAATTAGACTGAACTCCGCCTACCGAGTTCGGGCTTTAGATGCAAATGATGCCATTAGCAGGTGCTTTCAGCACGCTGATTGGCCTGAACTGATGGAGGCCGTCGTTGGGACAAGCTGAGCACCTTGACACACATCTTGTCAAAGAACCTCACTCCCCGCTGTTGCCTCTTGAGTCCTCAGAGGGGAGAAGATGTTAAGAATGTCCTTATTAACTCTCCAACAGATAAAAAGTCTCTCTCCTGGGGTGGTGCTGGAAGGCTTAAAGATTTTGAAAATCTTGACTGTTAAAAAGGAGTTTGAATACATCACATTCCTATGCAAAATGTTTTTAATATCCAGTTTAATGTAGTTTATTTTTGCTATATGTAAAGTATTTTTATACGGCTTGTATCATGATAGTTTAGCAATAAAACCGTTGAAAGCAATGGCTCCTTCGGTGTATCTCTTCTTCTGTAGAGATGCTGTTCAAACACCCCCTTCCATTTTGAGTTCCTAGAGCAGGGACTATTTTTTTGTGTGCATGAACCGTGCGAGGCTCTCCTGCTCATCTCAGCGCTATGAGACCGGCACTTACCCATTTTGCTTCTAACCTGATACTCGTTATCACTTTCAGAAAAGTATCCATTAGGCTGGTCGGGTCTTAGTTGCCACACGCGGGACCCCGCTGCATCGGGCGGGACCTTCCACTGTGGCTCACGGACTCTGCAGCTGCATGCATGCCACGGCGTGGGAACCTCAGTTCCCTGACCGGGAATCGAACCCGAGTCCCCTGCACCGCAAGGCGCTTTCACAATCACTAGTGGCGGTTGGTTTAGTTGCTAAGTCGTGTCAGACTCTTGCGACCCCATGGACTGGGAATCTACCAGGCTCCTCTGTCCATGGGATTCTCCAGGCCAGAATACTGGAGTGGGCTGCCATTTCCTTCTCCAGGGGATCTTCCCGACCCAGGAATCGAACCCAGGTCTCCTGCACTGCAGGCAGCTTCTTTACTGACTGAGCTACAAGGGAAGCCCAAAAGGTAGTTTGCATGTGTTGAATGGGAAAGTCGCTCAGTCGTGTCTGCCTCTTTGCAACCCCATGGACTGTATAGTCCACAGAATTCTCCAGGCCAGTATACTGGAGTGGGTAGCCTTTCCCTTCTCCAGGGGATCTTCCCGATCCAGGAATTGAACCAGGGTCTCCTGCGTCACAGGCAAATTCTTTACCAACTGAGCTATGATGGAAGAGGGAAATCCTCATCACTTTATATTTACAGATTTATTATAAAGGATATGACTCTGGAAGAGATGCATAGGGCAAGATCTGGAGAAGGGGCTTGAAGCTTCTCTGCTGTCTCTGGGCTCATCACCCTCCCCACCCAGCACCTCAGTTCACCAACTCAGAAGCTCTCCAAGCCTAGTCATTAGAGATTTTTACCGTGGTTTCGTTATGTATGTGTGATTGATTAAATCACAGGCCATAGGTGACTAGAGCCCTTCTCTGCTCTCTGGAGGTTCCGGGGCTAAAAATTTCAACCCTTCAATCATGCCTCTTTCAGCAGCCAGTCCCCTTCTGGCAGCTCTCTAGGGGCCCCCAACCACCAATCATCTCATGAGCATACAAAAGACACTCCTAATACTCTGGAGAGGACTTCCCTGGTGGTTCAGATGGTAAAGAATCTGCTTGCAATGCAAGAGACCCAGGTTTGATCCCCGGGTTGGGAAGATCCCCTGGAGAAGGGAATGGCAACCCACTCCAGTATCCTTGCCTGGGAAACCCCATGGACAGAGGAGCCTGGTGGGCTACAGTCCATGGAGTCACAAGAATCAGACACGACCTGGAGACTAAACCGCCACCTCCAATGCTCGGGAGGCTGTGTGGAAGGAACCACGACCTCTGACATCAGAAGCCCAAGGTGACAGCCGTGAGCCCGGTCTGGATTTGCCCAATCCCCTCCCTGCTCCCCCACTGCAGCTCAGCTGTGACGTGTCTCTAGACCCCTTTAGAAGTAGCCTAGTGGCCACCGTGAGCCAGCTCGCAGGGGGTCCCAGAGCTCTTACAGGGAACTGGGCTAAGCTGGTCACTTGGAAGGCAAAACAGTCTCCTGGCTGGAATGTTTTACAAAAATCCCCAAGTTCCCCCAAATTATCTTTTACCATCAAACCCACAAGCAGAACTGGATATTATAAAGGCTAGAATTTTCTGGCTGGCTTCCTCTTTATAACAGTTTTTTCTCCTTATAGCTAAAGCATCTATGAGGTTTGGGAAAAGGTTGCTATTGAAAGTCTTAAAGTAATACGGTTCAAAGGTCATCCCACTCTTCAGCACATCCCCTAAACCCCAGGGAAGCAGGGTCCCTGTCCCAGGCCCTGTGCTTCAGTGACCCACTCCACCCCACCACAGCCTGCATTTGGGATACCTTCTTGGGGACTTTCCAAGCCCCTGCCAGTGCCTGGAACCAGCTGTTCCATGTGGCTAGGGCGTCCCAAGCATACACAGGGTCCTGCATGACTGCTGGCTTGGCATGCCCCTGGTCCCCCCTCTGATGGGGCCATCTCATCCATTTCCTTCGGGGCACAAGGTCAGCCGGACGTCCCAAAGAGCTCCAGGACCCACACCTATGGGGCCCAGCCAGCTTCCAGAAGAGCTTCCTGGTGAGCAGATTGCTCCTAACGGTCAGCACAGGATTTTCATTTTCATGGGATCGTATGGGGTTGGGCCAACAGAACAGGGCTGAAATATTGATTTGCATGTGCACGTGCTCAGCTGCTTCAGTTGCGTTTGACTCTTTGCAACCCCATGGACCACAGCCTGCCAGGCTCCTCTTTCCATGGGATTTTCCCAGTGACAATATTGAAGTGAGTTGCCACCCCTTCCTCCAGGGGATCTTCCCGACCCAAGGATCAAACCCGCATCTCCTGCATTGCAGGCAGGTTCTTTACCACCGAGCCACCGGAGAAACCCATGAAATGTTATAAATACAAGAGTCCCACTAGAAATATTTTCCAGGAACCCACCCCCCACATTCACCCTAGCAGCAACTCTGCCCCTTCACGAGTTTTGCTGTACCTGTATATATCTGGTTCTCTTTAAATTCACTCACTTTCTGAAAACCTCATGTCCCTTTTCCTGAATAGGACGCAGAATCATCTGAAGCAGAAAACAAAATATAAACCTATATAGATACAACTATGTGACCGTTTAAAAAGTAAATTTGTTCTACATTTATGTGAGCTACGCTTTGTAAACAAATTCAGCCTGTGCCTCGGTTTCCCCAGATGCAAAATGAAGATAAGAATAGTCCCCGTTTCACAGGCAGAGCTTAATGCATGTTAACTATTAATACATCTACTAGTTAAAATGTTGGGAAACAACAGTCAAAGGTGGGCTTCAATTCCCCAATATCTGGAAGGAAGCATTCAGAGCTTTGACGATGGGTCTTAAATTTTTCTAACTGGATAGCTAGTTAACCAACTAGTTAACTAGTTAAAGCCCCAAACTTGAACTTAGCCAACTTTCAAATCCTGAAACAAAAGGGAAACACACCCTGGGGCATCCAACCTCCCCGCCTTGTGGAGACTTTACACTTCTGCTGATGTCCCTTGCTCCCTGCAGCAGAGAGGTGTACACATCTGTGCTGAGGAGAAGTGTAACACTGGCTTATAACACGTGGGAAGTTAAAGAAGAAACAGCTTCCAGGAGAAAACACAACGCTGACTCCTACACAACCTCCTCAGGGTCACAGAAGGGAAGGAAACGGATTTCCCGGCAAGAGCAGGTTGACTATGAAATAATGCTGTGATGGAGGCACAGATCACAGGCGCCATTAAGAGACGAAAGCAGGGTAGTTTCCTTTGCTTGAGGAGCCCCAGGAGCTGCGATGAGCTGGACCAAGCTTCCTCCAAAGAGCGCTTCCCACTCTAAACTGTCTCTGCTTCCACTCTCCCAATGAAATTCACAAGTCCAGCCTGGTAAATAGCTTAATACAGAGTTATCACCAAAGAGATGGAAACCCTTGCTTCACTGCAGGACTTTTTGGGAATTCTTGGTTTACTAGAGCTTTTAAACTCAAATTCTGCACTGGGACTTCCCCAGTGGTCCAGTGGCTAAGAATCTGCCTGCCAGGAGAGGGTGGGACGAATTGAGAGCAGCGTTGAAATATACGCATTACCGTGTGTAAAACAGATGGCTGCTGGGAAGTTGCTGTACCACACAGGAACTCAACCTGGTGCTCCGTGACAACGGAGAGAAGCAGGACGGGGTGGGAGGCAGGAGGTAGCTTCAAGAGGGAGGGGACATAACTATGGCTGATTCACGTTACTATACTCAGAAACCACCACAACGCTGTGACGTCATTATCCTCCAATTAAAAATAAATGGGCCCCCCTGTGGCTCAGACAGTAGAGAATCTGCCTGCGGTGCAGGAGGCTCAGGGTTGATCCCTGGGTCGGGAAGATCCCCTGAAGAAGGGATGGGAACCCACTGCAGTGCTCTTGCCTGGAGAATTCCATGCACAGAGGAGCCTGGCGGGCTACAGTCCACGGGGCCGCAAAGAGTCGGACACGACTGAGCGACTGACACAGACATAGCCACACTCAGATTTTTTAGAGCAGAATCCACCTGCCAATGCAGAGGACACAGGTTCGACCCCTGGTCCGGAAGACTCCACATGCCTCAGGACAACTAAACTGGCGCGCCACAGCTACCGAAACTTGCATGCCTTAGCGCCCACGCTCGCAGTGAGCGAAGCCGCTGCGGAGAAGCCCACGGGCCAGAGGAGGCCAGCAGCCCCACACACCACACGAGAGAGCCCGCGCGCAGCAGCCTAGTGCCAGCACAGCCAGGAAATAAAGTTCTGCGTTGAACTCCAGACCCAAAGTACGGTGACAATCGAGTCTTAGTTTTTCTTAAGTGGAGGTCAGAGGGAGCAGCTGAGGGCTTTCTATGAGCTACTGATCAAACACCCCAGGTCACAAGGTTGCTGGTATCCGCTGGTTCTCAAAACGTCAGGGCTGCCATGGACATCTGATCAAGAGCTCTCTGCAATTAATACCTTCAGGACAGTTCCTGAGGAAAAGCATTCATAGGACCATCTTGGCGCCGGATTTTACATACACCCTCCCTTACATACCTGCTCTGGATTCACACACCTGTCTGTGTGACTTCTCCATTCTGACAATCAGGAGGCATCTCTAGCTCAACACGCCCCTAACCTTCCTAATTTTCAATCACCTCTCTCCACTGCCTAGCCCCAATCCTCTAGCACACCCTGACACGTGTTTATGACAACACCATCTAAGCAGCTGGGAGTGGCCCTGGATCTCTCATGTCCCTGGGCCTCCACACATCAGCAAGCTTTGGTGGCTCCATCTCTGGAATCCCACCTCTGTCTCGGGCCCACTGGACCACCTTTACCTTCATGCCCTGGCCACCCTGGCTCATACCCACCCACCCTGTCTGCACACTGACTGCCCTTCGCGCTTGTTTTTTTCCCCAAATTTATGAAGGCATGATCGACAAAGTGTGCATAGTTAAGACGTACAACATGGTTATCTTGATATGTTCAAAATTGTGAAACTGGAGGAGATTAAGATGGCAGAATAGAAGGATGTGCACTCAATCTTCTCCTGCCACAGCACCAAAATTGCAACTAGCTGTTGAACAACCATCGACAGGGACACTGGAACCTACCAAAAAAAAAAAAAAAAAACCTCACATCCAAGGACAAAGGAGAAGCCACATCAAAATGGTAGGAGGGGAACAATTATAATAAAATCAAATCCTACACCCGCTGTGTGGGCAACTCACAAACCAGAGAACAGTAATACCGGAGAAGTTCTGGCACTGCCGTGAAGGTTCTAGCCCCACCTCAGGCTCCCCAGCCTGGGGACCCAGCCAGGGGACTGGGAGCCCCCAGGGAATCTGACTGAGGGCCAGTGGGACTTGACTGCAGAGCTTCCATGGGACGAGGGGAAACAGAGACTCGCGGAGGGCACAGACAGGGTCTTGCGCACACCAGGACCCAGGGGAGAGGAGCAGCGACCCCACAGGAGACTGAGCCTGACCTCCCTGTGAGGGTCTTGGGGTCTCCTGCAGAAGGGTGGGCCGGCAGTGGCCTGCCACGGCAGTGGGGGGCAGTGGGGGGCACTGGCGGCGGCAGTCGTGGGAGATGCGTCTCAGCAAAGTCCTCTTGGGGGTACCAATAGCTCTACTATAGAGGCTGAGAGACTCCAGGACTGGGTCACCTCAGGCCAAACAGGGAGGGAGCAGAGCCTCCACCATCAGCAGGACTGAATTAAAGTTTTACTGAGTATGGCCTGCCCACCACAGCAAAACCCAGCTTTCCCCACAGCCAATCCCTATCATCAGGAAGCTTGCAAGAGCCTCATCCACCAAAGGTCAGACAGAAGGAATAAGAACTACAATCCCATCAGGCTCCAGAACTAATACCACAATCACAGAAAGCTACCCAAAATGAAAAGAAGTAGGATTATGTCCCAGATGAAGGAACAAGATAAATGCCCAGAAAAACAAGTAAATGAAGTGGAGATAGGCAACCCCCCAGAAAAAGAATTCAGAATGACAGTGAAAATAAATCAGGATCTCGGAAAAAGAATGAAGGCAAAGATTGAGAAGATGCAAGAAATGTTTACCAAGGACCTAGAAGAACTAAAGAACAAACAGAGGTGAACAATACACGAGAAGAATGGGTAAGTAACCTGGAAGACAGAACTCAATGAATTTGGTAAACTTGCAGGTTACAAAGTTAATACACAGAAGTTTAATGCATTTCTATACACTAACAATGAAAGATCAGAAAGAGAAATTCAAGATGCAATTCCATTTACCATTGCATCAAAAAGAATAAAATACCTAGGAATAAACCTACCTAAGGAGACAAAAGACCTGTACTCCAAAAACTATAAGATGCTGATGAAAGAAACTGAAGAAGACAAACAGATGGAAAGATATACCATGTTTGTAGACTGAAAGAATCAATATTGTCAGAATGGCTATGCTACCCAAGGTAATCTACAGATTCAATGCAATCCCTATCAAATTACCAATAGCATCTTTCAAAGAATTAGAACCAAAAAAATATTTCAAAATTTGTATGAAGCATAAAAGACCCCAAATAGCCAAAGGAATCTTGAAAAAGGAAAAAAAAAAAAAAAAAAAAAAAAACAGGAGCTGGAAGAATCAGGCTCCCAGACTATACTACAAATCTACAGTCATAAAAACAGTATGGTGCTGGCACAAAAATAGAAATATAGACCAATGGAATAGGATAGAAAACCCAGAAATAAGCCCATTAACCTAGTCAATTAATCTATGACAAAGGAGACAAGACTACACAATGTTGGAAAGACAGTCTCTTTAACAAATGGTGCTGGGAAAACTGGACAGCCACATGTAAAGAAACGAAATTAGATCATTCCTTAACTCCATACACAAAAGTAAACTCAAATTGGGTTAATGACCTAAATGTTAGACTGGACGCTATAAAACTTAGAGGAAAATATAGGCAGAGTACTCTCTGACATAAATCACAGCAACATCATTTTTAATCCATCTTCCAGAATAATGGAAATAAGAGCAAAAACTAACAGATGGGACCTACTTAAAAACTTCTGCACAGCAAAGGAAACCATAAATAAAAATACAACCTACAGATTGTGAGAAAATATCTGCAAATGATGTGACCGATAAGGGATTAGTCTCCAAAATTTACAAACAGCTTATGACACTTAATAGCATCAAAACAAACCACCTACTCAAAAAAATAGGCAGAAGACCTGAATAGACATTTCTCTAAAGAGGACATACAGATGGCAAATAGGCACATGAAAAGATGTTCAAAATCACTAATTACAGAAATGCAAATCAAAACTACAATGAGATTATCACCTCACACCAGTCAGAATGGTTATCATCAAAATATCCACAAACAATAAATCCTGGAGAGGGTGTGGAGAGAAGGGAACCCTCCTGTATGTTGCTGGGAATGTAAATTGGTACAACCACTATGAAGGACAGTATAGAGGTTCCTTAGAAAAACTAAAAATAGAGCTACCATATGACCCTGCAATCCCACTCCTGGGCATATATCCAGAGAAAAACATGGCCTGAAAAGATCCATGCACTCCAGTGTTCATTGCAGCACTGTTTACAATAGTTGAAACATGGAAACAACCTAAATCTCCATCAGCAGAGGAATGGATAGAGAAGATGTGGTACATAAATATGTATATGTATGTATGCATACACACATTTATACATGATGGAATATTACTCGGCCATCAAAAAGAATGAAATAAGGCCATCTGCAGCAACATGGATGGACCTAGAGAGTGCCATGCTGTGTGAAGTAAGTCAGAGAAGAAAAATATATGACATCTTTTATAAGTGAATCTAGAAAGAAATGATACAAATGAACTTACTTACAAAACAGAAAGGGACTTATAGACTTAGAAAATGAACTCATGGTTGCAGGGGTAGGGAGGATGGGAAGAGATAGGTCAAGGACTTTGGGAAGATCATGTATGTACACAGTGCTATATTTAAAATGGATAACAAAAACCTATTGTATAGCACGTGGAACTCTGCTTGATGTTACGTGCCAGCCTGTACTGGAGGGGGTTTGGAGAAGAATGGATGCACGTATGGTGTATGTGTACGGCTGAGTCCCTTCACTGTTCACCTGAAACCATCATAACATTGTCAATCGGCTATACCTCAATACAAAATGTTCTTGGTGTTAAAAAGTAATAAAAATAAAATAAAAAAAAAAACTATGAAACTGGAGGACATTGTGCTAATGAAATAAGACAAACACAGAGACATAAACACTGCATGGTTTTACTTACATATGGAATCTATGACAGAAAATAAAGTCAAAATCTTAGGAACAGAAAAAGTGGTTTCCGGGGGTGAGGGAAATAAGTGAGGGGTTGGTAAAAGGGTACAGAATTTCAGCTGTAAGACAAGCAAGTTCTGAGGGTTTAATGTAACACAGTGACTGGAGTTGCTACTGAGTCCATGTGTGCTCAGTCATGTCTGACTCTTTGCAGCCCCATGGACTGGAGCCCGCCAGGCTCCTCTGTCCATGGAATTTTTCAGGCGAGAATACGGGAGCAGGTTGCCATCCTGCTACAGGATATCTTCCCAACCCAGGGATCGAACCCAAGTCTCCTTCGTCTCCTGCATTGGCAGGCATATTCTTTACCACTAAGTCACCTGGGAAGCCCCCAGAGCATATTGCCATTGTATCACTGAAATAAGCTAATGGTACAGCATTCCAAAAAAGTAGTAGATGGGACTTCCTGAGTGGTCCAATGGTAAAGAATCTGCCTCTTAATGCAGGGGATATGGGTTTGATCCCTGGGCCAGGAAGATCCCACATGCCTCAGAGAAACTAAGTCCAAGAGCTGCAACTACTGAAGCCTGGGTGCCTAGAGCTGTGCTCTGTAACAAGAGAAGGCTGTACACTGCCCCTAGAGAGTAGTCCCTGCTCGTTGCAACTAGAGAAAACCACATGCAGCCATGAAGACCCAGAGTGCAATCAAAAACAGATAAATAAAAGTAATGGACAAATAAATAATGGTAATAGATGTGTTACTTAACGGGGGATCCTTTCACAGCTTTTATCATCTCGTCATGATGTACACTTT